AATAAAACGTGTTTTTCATTCTTGATTTGATTTCAATTTTTGTTACGTATTCATCAGGAGAAGTAATTTATGCAGGTCTAATATACGGATGCATATGAATCATTATAACCAGCTCTTACTGCTATGAAACAGACACCTTCTCGCAGAATAAAAAGTTGCAAGCCTCAGAGCGCAAATGTACTGGAATGGAGACACATTCAACTCAAGCAGGAACTGAGCATTATAGCATGAATGCTAAAAATCAAGATCTGGAGAGGATGTGCTTATTTCCGAGGACAGCCTAGTATGGATCAAAGATGGAAGTTGCTTCTTTCTGAATGATCAATTTTCTTCCGAAAATCATTTAACAAAGACGGCTACTCGATTTCCGTTCTCCTAAGATCGGCTTGCACTGTAGGTTTAGAGTGATATCCCCGTGGTTCGACAGCTTGTGTAATCTGTCTGTCTGGCAGTATGTCTGCAGCCCGTGAGACAGAAGATTTCTCACCCTGACACACTTTGTAGGGAAGAACAGAGCCTGGTGATTGTACATGTTCTCTACTAAAGTTTAGTAGAAACGAAAGACTACAATTAAGGTCTAAATGCATCGTTAGCAAGTTCCGCTCGAATTGGTTCAAAATTGAAATTGCATGTTCTGCTGCTAAAGTCGCTGAACGAGGGAATGGAGGCGCGGAGAAAAAAAAAGAGACAAGAGAGGCAGAGCGGACATACAGCACGAGAAACGTGTGCGTTTGAATGGAAAGCGGTGCGTGGCGACCCCTGTATACACGACCTGCACGACTGGTCATCAATGCAATCGCCGTCGTTTCTATGCGAGGCTGGACTAGTCCTAAGAGTTTATTCTATAAGCATATACACTGTGAAATTAGCATTGCAAAACTAAACAATAACTACACTAACAGCTAACGTCAGCTAGCGCCTCCTTTCTGGGCTTTCAGCTTCGGTTTCGCATCATTGACACACTCCTGCACTTTTGTTGCATGGTCTTTATCAGTGAGCAGTTTCTTCTCTAACTCCTTCCATTCTTCATTTGCATTAGTCAAAAACTTTATTCGTTCGGTTTCAAGAAGGCTGGGCTTCTCCTTCTCTGGGAACTAAATAAAGGGATAGAAAGACAGAAAACAGCGATAAAGATCTGAAACGAATCTGCACCTTCTCCCTCTTTCCTTCCGGCAGCATCTTCGGATTGACAGGAATTCCTCGTTTTTCATTGTAGTCGGCCTCGAATTGAAGTATAGTTTCCACCTTCAAATGAAAGCGGTGTAGCTATGTATATA